GATATCTTCATGAAATTGGCATGTACTATTGTTTAAGGCAACGCTATAATCTTCGAATAAATTATTTGAATCGGATCATTATAGCATATAGCTGCCATACAAACTGAACGCTCAAAATCAAGTTCTTGTATGAAAACTTTTATGCGACGAGATATCTTCATGAAATTCGGCATGTATTATTGTTTAAGGCAACGCTATAATCTTCGAACAAATTATTGGAATCGATCATTATAGCATATAGCTGCCATGCAAACTGAACGCTCAAAATCAAGTGCTTGTATGGAAACATTTTTGTGTAGAATACTATAGCTTCGCTGCAGTAAGCTCGCTTAAAAATTCTAAACTTCTATTACTTTTAGGCATTAACTCATCCTTCATTCCGACGAATCGCATAACTGGCTGTTACCAAGAACTCGAATTCATTGGAGATGCTATACTAGACTTTCTGATTTCGTGCTTTATATTCGAACGCTATCAACATATGACGCCTGGCATGCTTACAGACTTACGTTCGGCATTGGTCAATAATATACACTTGGTGGTGTGTGTACGTCATCGCTTCCATTTGTTTTATTAGCTGAAAATAGCGAGTTGGTTGAAAAATTAAAATTTTGCCAAATATCAAGAAAACACAACTACATCGTCACTGACGATGTACAAATATTGATGGACGAGACTTCAGTGCCTACAATAAAAAGGGCAACGCTTTTAATATGGCGACCAATGTGGAAGTGCCAAAGCGCTAGGTGACATTTTGAAGCATTAATCGCTGCTGTCTATATTGACAGTCGCGATTTGCGTACAACTTGGCATGTAATTTACGGTTTGCTAGAACAGGAAATCAATCAATTCACACAAACATACCGCTGGATGCTGTACGCCAATTGGTTGAGCATAAATACGCTAATCCGAAATTCGCCGATCCGATCTTTGACGAGGACGTATACATGGTAAATGTCAATTCACATGCCTGGATCGCAGTATGGAGGTAAATGGCTTTGGTCAAAATGGGAAACTGGCAAAGAAAGCGGCTGCCAGCATGCGCTTCAAATTTTAGCGAAACGCTCCACTAAAATATTTTTATACTCTCGCAACAATAAACAACAATAAATTTAGATACAACACTGTAATTTGGAACAGCAGATCACAGTAGCGTGGCGAACACATGTGTGCTAACAATTTTTCTTTTAAAGTGCGCGTAACTACGCCTTCAAATTGGTTTAATGAACCGCTTTGGCTAAATCAACCAAAATTGCTGACAAGTGAAATCTAGTTTTAAAATTTGCGAGCATATTTTTATGATGACAACATGCGCTTGCGCCAAAATGGGTAAAATCGGTCAATACTTCTCTTAGCTGCCATATACCTAACATAAAAACTTCCTGTTGATTTTATACCGCAACTATTGGTCAATATGTAAGAAATCTTAATGAAATTCGAAAAATCTCTAATAACAGTGCATACTTTTGCTTAAATGAATGAAAACAGGGCAATACTACTCCTAGTCCTTATATACCTAACATCATATTCGGGTTTCAAACATCCGCCTGTCTTTATACATTATATATTGTTCAATCTGTGCGATTTCTTAATTTGCATTGCGAGTATAAAATGTTCTGTTACACAGTTACGCATTTGCTTTAAACTCTTCTATAGTATTTATATATATAATACACCAAGTGTACTGTAGTTAACCAGAGACCTTGAAAGAACGAGGTGGTGCAGGTTCGACAGCGACATTTGTATAATTTGATCGGGGAGTTCCCGCACAGCAGTAGACAAATAACATTTTCGCTTTTATAACAGCGGTGAATCTATACACGTATTAACACTCCCAAAGGTGAATATTGAAGAGAAATAATATGTTTGCCAAACTGGGAATTATTATATGCCACTTGAAATATATTCCCTTTATTGAACTATTATTTATTAATTTTTAAATTTATGTTAATTTATTTTTACTTTATTATGAGAAATATATCAAAATACTTTTAAATTATTACTAATAAAGTATTTTAATGTATTTCTTAAATATTCATGTACTTGACACCATTACGGAGTCAAAAGTACAGAATTGTGTTTGCCGTCGGCATTTTTATATCATGTGTACATGTAAAGAAATATGAAAGAAACATATTAGTAATTTGTCTAAAGCCACATACATACATATGTACAAATGTAGATATGTACACGGTCAACCAATGACCGAAGCTCACGTTTTTGCTTTCAAGTCAAAGATTCAATCTGTCGAAGGAATGACGCGACGACAAGCGTCACCACATTGTGTTGTTGGTAGCAATTCGAGATGTACCGAAAAATAAACGAACGCTCGCCGATTGATGAGAAGTTGGCCTCAGAGAGGCCTGTGAAAATTGGCTCTCGAGTTTTTCAATAGGCGCAGCCTTCTACGAGAGGGCGCATATTTGACTTAAATCGGACAAATGTACACAAAGTTATCATCTTTTGAAAATCAATAAAACTGAACGAACTTTTTAACCTAATATTTAAGTGGTTTTTAGACAAATTTACAAATATTACTCTTTCATATTTCTTTACATGCACATATGATATGAAAATGCACCTTCTCGTTCATTTACGTTTCTGGCTACGTAGGAAAGAAATTTTATAATGTTCACTGTAGTTAATGTTTGAAATTTAGAAATTATTTTAATAACGATATTGAGATTTTGTGCTAAACAAAAAATAAAATTATTTACCACTATTAGTGGCTAAAGCTCTTCTCATTTACTATTTAAATTTTATTTCCAAAAGCTAAGCTTTGCTGCATTGACATGATTTTTACAGCCTTTAATTATGCGTTAGATTAAGTTTTTCAAAAGAGTTCGAAACTCTCTCCATACATACATATGTACATTATTATGTGAAGTATTTTTACTAAATTCAAAATATATATAATAAAAATAAAATAAAATAAATGTTGGTTCTGTTCTAGTGATTCAATAGATGCTATTTAGTCGTGGTTGAAAGAGGTTGTCAGTATACAACATGGACAAGGGAATTAAATACAGGGAAGTAGTGAGAAGACGCGTGTGAAGAAGTTCTTCTTGTCAAATACTGCATTACATTACAATCCTTGGCTCATTTATACCTTATTAATGGCCTCGAGCGCTATTATTCTTCAATACAAACCACTTTGTGGCTTCAAAGCAGTCCGTTCACTAACATTCTTATATATGCAGCCAAGAAAGAAAATTTCAGATCACATCAACACATCACATCGCTTCATATCATATGATCACACAACACCAACAATTGGTGGCCTTAGCAACGTGGACAGGCACTTTCTTATATATGCCCGGTAGCTAAGATCGAAAATTTGAGGTCATATCAAATATCCATATCGCTTCATATCATATGATCACCAACATTACCAATTGGTGGTTAGCGGCAGTATGCTCGACAGACAAAACAAGATTTTCAGGTCACATTAACAATGACATCGCTTCATATCATGTGATCACACATCACTATCAAGTAGCGACCCTCTGCACCATGGGTAGGCATTTTCTTATATATGCAGCCAAGAAAGAAAATTTTAGATCACATCAACACAATCACATCGCTTCATATCATATGATCACACATCACTGCCAATTAGCGACCTCTGCACCATGGGTAGGCATTTTCTTATATGCAGCCAAGAATGAAAATTTCATATCACATCAACACAATTACATCGCTTCATATCATATGATCACACAACAGTACCAATTGGTGGCGCTTAGCAACGTGGGCAGGCACTTCTTATATACGAGTATGGCCCAAAATCAAAAAGCTTGGTAAATGTTTGTATTCATTCAGTGTTTCGATCACAGTGGAATGTAAAGCGTTACGCGTCCATGAATTGGATACATCATGCATACAAGCGATAATATCTGCATGTTGAATTGCATGTTTGTAGGCGCTTTTGAAACTTTGTTCCAAATTATGCCTTTTAATTTCACGTGGTGTAACTAAACCTGGTGTATCATAGAAGACAAGTTGGGTTTGTCCCGTTGTATAAATTGCTTTGCTGGATTTTCGTGTTGTATGCACTTTAGACGAAGTCGGACATACCTAAGCAGCAAAGTCAATTATAAAGCTCAATTGAAATTTTTCGTAGCAACGCTTACCCGATGATTAATTAAGTTGTTAATAAATGTACTTTTTCCTGCGTTTGGAACGCCAATAACCGCTATATGCAATGAATTCTGCGTGCGTTTATGTTGTGCTTTCTGGTCATGGGTAGTAAGGTCTGTCGTGTCGGCAGATGCAGAAAACTTTGCAGTAGCAGAGCTATCATGCAATGATGATAAACTATAGCTACGTATATTTCCTGTCCGAACTTCATTATATTTGCTAAATCTTAGCAAATATTTTGTTACTCCACCAAAATTACTCAACAATAATTCCATTATCGCATTAGAACTGTGTGATTGCAAAATAATTTTTAAGAATAATTGCGAAAAGCAAAGCAAAACAGAATAAAAGAAGATACCAGATGTACAAGTTGTTTTAATTTTTTGTTTTTCCGATATATTCTACACATTCTTGTTTAGATGCTTAAATGTCCAGAAACCATTGTTATTGTAACAGTGAAAAATTGAAAATAGCTGTAGGAACTACTATTTTAGGTGTGGAGGTATTATATATATGTATTTTCTAATAATAAGTTTATAACAAAACTGCTGGCTCACAATAAATTGTATTTTGCAAACGATAAAATCTCATTTACGAAGGAAACTGTAATCGGTAAAAGAATTTGCGTTACTCTTTTATCGGTAGCAATAGATTAACTATCGTCTATGTTATCGGTATAATATCTGAGAGTAGACGTTTTCAGATTGCATTTAATTTGGCTTATTCTTCGTCTCGTTTGTCTGTCACAAACAGCTGAACTGAATCAACGTATTTATCTTTATTAATAATACTTATAACAATAAAAATTTATATACAAAATTTTAAGTTTGGTGTATAGAGTTAATTATTTTTAAAGTGCAAATCATAATAAATTTAAAAAAATGCCAGAAGTTGAAGCAGTGCAGATAATTGCGGAGTCTCTAAAAGAGCAGGTATGTAAAGTGTTCATAAAGGGCTTGCTGATAGTAACCCAAAATGGGGTTTCTTAAACATAATAACAAATTATCCAATGATTATGTTATTTTGTTATATTCTTAATATATTTATAGATTTATAATATAAAAATAGGCATTTTTTGGTATAAGGCTATAAAGCCTTATTGCTTTAAATTAGCAAATGTATGATAGTTTTTTATATTATATATAGATAATATTTTAATATAAGACTACCATATTCCGGTGGGTTTTTTGCACCATATTTTCGCCATCATTTCACAGTACTTACTTTTTTATCAGCTGCAAAGTTCGTTGATCAAAGTACACCTGTAAAATAGTAATTATGCACCAATATATATTTGATCTTTGTGAGCTGAATTAATAAGGCATATATATGCTAATGAACCCTCACAATCAGATTAAGTTTACTTAATCTTCGCGCTGCAGCCCTTATCAAAAAATGCCACGATAACTTTTCGTAAAAAAATAAAGATAACCATACAGAAAATAATTTCAGTTATGCATGTTATACGCATATACACATACATATACAGATATAATAAAATATTTACTAGACGTAAGTAAATGGTACTACAATTGTTTTGATTTCAAAGAATATTTGAATGAAATGCAATTTATTTCGGAATATGGTGCAAAAAGCTCTCTATAATTATAAGAAAATGTCGGAGGTCCTAACTAGTCTCTCAGTTTTTGAGGTATCGATCTGAAATCTTGCACACGTCCTTTTTTCTCCAAGAAGCTGCTCATTTGTCGTACCGTCGACGTCGAAACATTACAGCTTATAGCTGCCATACAAACTGATAAATTTAAGTTCAGTCCTTGTATGGAAGATTTCTTTATATAACGTAATATCTTAACGAAATTTGGCACAGAGTATTGTCCAAAGCAACGGTACAATTTTCGAAGAAATTATACAGATCGGACCAATATAGCATATCGCTGCCATAGAAATTGACCGTTTAAAATTAAGTTAAAAATCTTTTCATACTCTTTAATGCTATAAAAAATATACTTCTGAAGGTAAGTTAACGGTTTTTCTTGTTTACATTCAGTTAAGAAATTTTGATGTGCTATTTAGTTAATAATTTTTTTATACTCTTTACAGGGTGTAGAATATGTCTTCGGTATTATCGGCATACCTGTTATTGAACTATCGATGGCTTTTCAAGCTGCTGGCCTTAAGTACATTGGAATGCGTAACGAGCAGTCAGCTTGCTATGCCGCTCAGGCAATTGGCTTTTTAACTGGCAAACCTGCTGTTTGTCTTGTTGTTTCTGGACCAGGATTGCTGCATGTAACCGGTATGTGATAGGCTAAACAAATATTATGACACAAATTAAAAGATTCTCTCCTTAATAGGTGGTATGGCGAATGCGCAAGTGAATTGTTGGCCACTGCTGGTAATTGGTGGTTCAACCAGTCAGGATCATGAGGGAATTGGCGGTTTTCAGGAGTATCCGCAAGTGGAAATGTCACGTCCATACTGCAAGTATGCGGCTCGACCGCCTACCGCATCGCTGATACCATTGCATGTGGAGAAGGCTGTGCGTTATGCGACATACGGACGACCAGGTGTCTCTTATCTTGATTTCCCCGGCAATTTGTTGCAATCGCGTGTGGAACAAGACAAGATCTATAAAACATTGTCACATCCAGTTGCGCCACTAGTGTATCCGGCACATGACGATGTTATACGTGCTGGTAATTTGTTGCGTACAGCAAAGCGTCCACTTGTTATCATCGGGAAAGGTGCCGCCTACGCACATGCCGAAAATATTTTACGACATTTCATTGAGAACACCAATTTGCCCTTCCTGCCAACACCAATGGGCAAAGGTGTTGTTTCGGATACGGCGCCACAATGTGTCTCCTCTGCTCGTTCGTTGGCATTGCAAAAGGCAGATGTTGTGTTGTTGTTGGGTGCACGTCTAAATTGGATACTGCATTTTGGCAAGCCACCACGCTACAGTGCCGATGTCAAATTTATTCAAGTATGTACTTAGAAAAATATATCGTATTTTTCTCTTTGTCTAAATACTTTGAATTCAACAGGTCGACATTTGTCCAGAAGAATTGCATAATTCCGTTCAAGCTTCGATCGCCATACAATCGGATATTAAACCGTTTGCCGAACAAATGTTTGAGCAGATGAACGCAGTGAATTTCGAATTTCCAAGTGACAATCCCTGGTGGGAAGAGCTAAGCGACAAATGCAAGCGCAATCGCGAACAAGTGCGCAGCATGGCTTTACAGACTGCTTCGCCGCTAAATTACTATACCGTTTTTCATCATCTGCGTGAGTTGATACCACGCGATGCCATCATTGTAAGCGAGGGTGCCAACACCATGGATATTGGACGTACAATGCTTTTCAACATACTGCCACGTCATCGTTTAGATGCTGGCACTTTTGGCACAATGGGCGTTGGACCCGGTTTCGCTATTGCAGCAGCACTGTATTGCCGCGATCGTTATCCTGGCAAGCGTGTAATATGCGTGGAAGGTGATAGCGCTTTCGGCTTTTCCGGCATGGAACTGGAGACTATGGTGCGCTACAAGCTACCAATTACGATTGTTATTGTTAACAATAACGGTATTTATGGTGGTTTCGATCAGGAAACATTCGATGCCATACGAAATGCCGGCGATTTGTCACAAGTGTAAGTTGTCAAACAGAAAATTTTAAATATTTTCATTTTTATTTGCTTTGCTCGTTTATGATTTTAGCACACCGCCATCCGCTTTGGGTGTTCAAGTGCGCTATGAGGAAATGATGAAAATGTTCGGTTTGCAAGGTTACTTCTGCAAGGAGATACCAGAACTGCAGGCAGCGCTGAGGGAGGCACAAAAACTGTCCGACAAGCCAACCATTATTAATGTAGCCATAAATCCGTCATCGGATCGCAAGCCACAGACATTTAACTGGCTAACTGAGTCAAAATTGTAAACTTTTCTTTACGTAAATGCGATTTCCTGTAAACAAGCGCGAAATCGTGAACAATTGCTTTCATATACTTGCATACAAACACACTATACATATATACATTAAACTGAAGAGCATTGTTACGAAAGTTGTGAAAATGAATGCCTATTTAAGCTATGTATTTTCTGCGCCAGTGGCATAATTACGGGTAGTTGCTATTTATAGGAATTTAATTCCTTTTTATTTAAGCTAAAACGTTTTATTTGTGTGTGTTTTTGTATACTTGAAATAATATTAAAATATTGGTTGTGGTCACTGTAGTAGTAACAATGCTCAAGTATTGGCTTTTGTAGTACAGTTATAAATGTTTTTTTTTTTTCGCACATTCCAACTTTTTTGTAAACAATTAACGGCACTTTAGTGAATGTTTGTGCATATGAATTTGTCCTTTTATGTGAAATTGTCTTAAGCAGATTTTATGAATTTATATACCATACATACTACATACATATTTATATGCATCTGTGCTTATTAAATTTTATATATGAACACTCTTTGAAATACCAAATTAATTTAATTTATCAACTAAATTTCTATTCAGCATTTTCACTCCATGTATACGTTTATGTGTACTTGCGAACACGATACAGCGCGTTACGAATTAAAAAAAAAAAAAAAACGCTAACTTCGGCTGTACCGAAGCTATAATACCCTTCACAGGTGTATTTCGTAAAGCATAAAAAGGTATAAAATATGTTTATTTTGATTTTGATTGCGCATTTGTATGGCAGCTATATGTTATAGTGGTCCGTTATGCACAATTTCTTCGGAGATTATTCCGTTGTCTTGATTAATCATTCGTGCCAAATTTCGTGAAGATATCTCGTGCAATAAAAAACTTCTCCAAACAACAACTTTATTTTGAGCGTTCAGTTTGTATGGCAGCTATATGCTATAGTGTTCCGATATGCACAATTTCTCTGGAGATTGCATAAATGGCTTAGACAATAACCCCTGCCGAATTTCGTGAAGATAGCTCGTCCAATGAGAAAGTTTTCTATACAAGCATTTAATTCCGATCATTCATTTTGTATGGCAGCTATATGTTATAGTAGCCCGATATCGTTGGTTCCGACAAAAATTAGCAGTTTTTTGGGGGAAAAATTGCGTATGCGAGATCGATGTCTCGTGAACTGAGCAACTAGTTCGCGTACATGCGCAGATGGACGTACTTAGCTTGACACGCTCATCATTTATATTATATATACATATATTTTATACTACTATTACTGTTTTCGTTGCAGTCGTTTACAAAAATCTTTACGAGAAGCGTTTATTTATTTTTTTTTCTTTTTTGTTTTTTGGTGGTGTAAGTGTGATAGTATAAAATAAAATTAATTGACAAAAAATTTGAATCTTATGAAAATTATATTGCAAGTCTTCATTATTAAGTTAATTAAGTCCAAGCGTCTAGAATTCTAACTCGCCAATTCTTCCTTTGGCTTCGCCTCCTCATCCAAACCTAAGTATTGCAGGAAGCAGCTTATATTCACTAGACGACCCTTATGTAGGAACGGTATCTTGGGACATAGTTCGAAATTGATATTCATTGGCGCTATATCAGGCACTTTGCCGCAACCCATATCAATGAAGTTCAGGAAATCGCATACCTCAACCTCGCCGCAATCATTATGATTTAAAACGCTGAGTAGATCATCAATTAGTTCCGGTATGAATGGCAGGCGACAGCCCTTCATTGTCGAGCGTAATTTCGCCTCGGAGAGGAATGGTTTGTTCAACGGATTGATGTGGTGCAAGTGCTCCTTCAACTCATCCATTGCATTCCACAGCGAACGTTTCAACTCCAAGTGCACCGCAGCGCGTACCGTCTCCCGATTGCATGCCTGTGGCGGTGCTTTTTCAGCCGAGAAGTAACGACAGACCGTAATAATTTCGTGATTGGTGATGTCATCAGCTAGCAGATTGATAAGTGCGCGCTTGAGTGAATCGAAACCAATAAATTGCACATCCTTAACAGATTCAGCGCCCTCGGGTAGGCAACGGCAAAGGAAGCCCTTGTAATCGGACTTCGCTGCATCGCGAATTTTCAGCATAATTGACTTGATATCGGCCATTGGATACTGCAAATACAAAGAATATGAATATGTCTAACATTTTATATACCGTTATAGCGTATGCGTCAGCCACCTCATATGGATGGTGCTCCATGTAAATAAGCGTATACTCATCGGCGGAAACAATGTGAAAGATGTGATCCTTGAGGCTCATTGTGGCACCAATATAAAAATTGTATGGCTGATAGTATTGTGGACGCTTCGAGGTGAACTTCTCTTGGCCCGGCAGTGGTATGCGTGTACGTTTCATAAATTCGCCACCCAAGAAACCGGAATTACGTTCGGCAATCTCAAATATTTGTATGGTATCATCGGATAGGTAATAGGATATAATGAAAATGCGTTCACAATTCTCACGTATGGTCGATAATAGTTTAGCGCCAAACCTAAGCACGTAACGATCCAGTTTGATGAATTTCTTAAAATCAGTTTGCGGCGGTTTGGGTTCGACTGAGATGCAATTGCCCTCGGAATCCTCATATGAACCCCAGCCATTATAGGGTGGCAGTATGCGTTCCTTTTGTTTAATCGGCGCACAATCGTCGCCACGTGACGGTATTGGTGCAGCAGTAAAGTTCTCAATACCATACTGAAATGATCGTGGAATGGGAGAGCAAATGAGTTTAGAAAATGCGTGCAAATGTCAGTGTAAGCGGAAGTGTTACAAACCCGTTTTCTATAATACTCCTGCGTGTATTCATCACAATCCGTAAGCACCACAGCACGTCCGTACACATTTAGCACGGTGCCGATTTGTAGATCACGATCGGCATAGTAGAGCACCTCTTTTTCGCCGATATTCAGTGGATCAATGGTGTAGCGTACATTTCGCATGCTTGTGCCGAGCACATTCAATAGCGTTTGTGGTGTTTCTTGCCCAGGTAGTGGTAGGCCATTGAATTCCTTGAAATAAATAAAACCCAGTAATTGTTTCTATAGACATTTTCGAACTTTGTGAACGCCTAACGCCATTTCGAGATATCGAGTTATGTGCAAAAGTGGCGTAAAAATATACTCTCTTCTATCGTTCTTAAAAATCACACTTTAGTTGGTCTGAGCTACTAGTGTATGAAGACGTATTACTTCGACATGAGGACCTCTTAAATTTTAGCTAGTACTCTGTACGAAAGTTTTGATATTATGTCCGTTAAGACGCTGAGATACCTATTTTCGATTTTGTCATTGACGCTTCATTATAGCGCTAGAGAAGAAAAATATCTAGCAGTAGATGGACCGACTGATCCATTCAAATATTATTTAAGGGGTCTAATATGTTTCCACACAGGGATTGTATCGTCTCACTAGCACCCAGCAGAATTTTGGAATTTATCAACATGCTGGGCCTAGATGATACGATATGACTTAGGGGAGGGCACAATAGACCATAGGTCGCGGTGCATACCTCAAAATTAATCTAATCTAATCTAATCTAAGGGGTCTAATATAGTATGACATGTAATTAGTCTGCCCGAGTATACTAAAGCGCTTTGGAGCAACGGATGTGGTTCACTATCAATTTATGTATTACGAATATGACATTATCGAAAGATTTTTGTATGGAATTTTCTTCAGTAAAGCAATAACACTATTGATATCAAATGGCGTTAATAAGTAACGGTACTAATTTTGACAATTGCGCTTTACTCAATCCACATTTCTATCAATTACTTACCCTTGGCAGTTTTCCCCTTTTCAAGAAGAGCGATGGACCTTCACGCCCTGAATTACGTGGAAAAATTTCTTTTATATCCATTGTATCATCAGCCAAATAATAGCATATTTCTAAACGACGAACATCACCGAACTCCGAACGATCATCCCAGTAGCCGTGGAATTTTAACACTTTCCGATCGAATGCTAAAAATTGTGCGAATGAATGCTTTTTTGGTGGTTGATTGTGTATCTTTCGCGCCGATCGTTTACGCATTTCTGTTGTGGGATCACTGAAAAGGCATTAAAATTTTAGTTGACGTTGAAACTATATATGTACGACAAATTGTTGCCGCAACATACACTGGCATATCGACGGGATCTGGTACGGCTATACCCGAACGATTTAGGAAATGTCGCGTAAAAAGATCACAATTTGTAATGTGATAAATGCGATCGAATATTTGTATGCTCGTATCGACGTTAAGATCCAATATCGAGATGAATTCATTTTGGCACGGCGGTGGTTTCGGTATGCGCTGACGATGCACCAGACAACCTTGCGGTATACCCGAGTTGTCCACTTTCGGTTCAGTGATTTGCATGGTGCCATCTTCCAGATAATACATAATCTTGACTTTACGCACTTGATAGGGTGCATTGTAGACCTCGTGTAGAGTCTCCTTAAAGAATGCATCAAAACCGAGCACTTTCTTATCGTAAGCAATCCATGGTGGCAGTTTGGGTCCAGTCTTTGGCGGATACAGTGATGGTGTGGCTGTCGGTGGGCAATTGATATCAATGCACATGCCACCAACGTCCACCATGGCGGGTGGTTGGCGATCGTTTAACATACTAATGCCTTGGAAATTCATAAGGCTCTGCGGCTTGGGGAAGTTCGTGCGTGATAGCTGGAAATGTATGCGTGTATATATGTACATATAGTTTGATACTCACATTTTTTGTATGCATGTGTGTTCGGTGTGCATATGTATTGTTTAATGTAACACTTACATCCCGAAAGGTGGTGCCCGGCAGAAACGGCATTCCTGGTATACGCAGCATTTTGGTTTAGTTTTATGAAGCGCTTTCTAATAGAAAATATGTAAAAATCGTTAGGTTTGCGGTAAAAATCAATACAAAATAAACGCGTTTGTTTAAAATTTCTTTTTTTACAATTTTCGTAAAATTTTACAAAAAACAGCGAACGAAATTCTGTAGTTTTAGTAAATATTTGTTCGAAAAAGTTTTACGTATATAATTTTTTTATTATTGTTATTTTAAAACGCTTTGTATGTCACTTATTTATTTTGCTTTTTGTGCTACTTTTTCCCAAGTGTTTAGTGTTTACTAGGGTTTTGCAGCGACAAACTGCATAAACAGAAATATGTATGTGTGTACGTAGTAAAGTAAATATGGACTAAACAATACACATCTACGTGTGTGAGCTGAACGCGACTGGTTGCTATGACGCTCTTTTTTTTGGTTGGTCGGGCGAGCCATTTAAATATAAGTACCGCAAAATTTTCTGAACTTGCCGTGAGTTTATAATGGCATTCTTGAACGGAATTGCAATAAGACGCTTACAGTTTTTACATGCTGTATACCCTTTCCGTTAGGACGCCTCTATGCTAACTTTTGAAAGAGTCGAAAGAAAGACGCTCAAATAAAGATTTATGTTAAGTCGCCAAAACTTAACTTAATGTAAAGCTAAACAGCTTTCAAGGCCTACAAAAATGCAAAGAGAGCTGCTAAAGTTAGACTACTGTTCGACATGTGGCGAGGCATAAGCGACTACCAGCATCTTTGTTCGGCTTCGATTATAGCGATTCATCATTTTTATAAGCTTGGCAGTTGAGATGCTTAAGATATAAATTCGTTAATCATATCAATAGCTTAAGGACAGTTTTAAGTAAACAATTTAGTATTCTAGGCCTAGGATTGCATACATTAAACCGGGTCCACAATACATCAAACTCTTTTTTCTATAAATGACAGTATTGCAAGAATTCTGTGTGCTAAAAATGTGTTAAAAAATACTCATTAAAGAGATTTATTCTTAGAACTCATTACTTAAAATGTCTTCGGTATAACCGCCTTTAGGTACCACAACAGACCGGCGTTTAAGCTGCCCAAGTGAGATCCTTCTTGGGATCGATCTCCTAACCTAACCTTACCTAACCTAATATCCTTTAGGAATCGAGATCTATAAGATTTACTTCAAATATATGCTAAAAGCAGTTATGTAATATATTTCAACCATTTATTGTTTTAAATTTCGCATAATGATTTCGTAAATATAGTCAAATTAGTACATATTCACAATTTGGACTCAATATGTATAGCTAGCATGCCGTCTTCTTCATTTTGACCGATAGAAATGTTAGCGCGTCCATCCGAGCCGACAACAACACGCTTGCCAGAGCAATTATTAGAGTCTGATTTGTCGCCAGAAATGATATCACAATAAGTGCCAGCTGGCAAGCAGGTCTGCAGCGCAGTATTAAGTTCATAAGAGTCTCCATTAATTGCCACGAAGCCTTTGTTGCCCCGACAGAAGCTGATCTGGTTGCTGCCATTGTCCCACCAGTTCTGCACATTAGTACCAGCCACGATGTTCCTGAAGCCAACCATGTTGTAAATTTGACGCCAACGATGTTCACATACCCAGCCACCGCCACAGGAATTATCCGCATTGAATATGGGTGTAGCAATGTTATTACCGTTGGTTGTTGGTGGACCTTGATCGGTGTTGTCGAATGCAAACGAAGACATGACACGCGTAATGCCAAATGGATGAGCCAACATGAAAGCACTGGCCATTTTATATTGCTTTGCTGTCTTATAGTTGAGTATATCCGCACCACCAGCGCCATGTCCACGTTGATTGTCGTGGTTATCTACGAAAACCAATGCCCGATCCGAGTTGAGAAAACTCCACTCTGGACCCCAGTTGATCAGCCAACGCAGCTGATCCTTGCCACGAAATACTTTACCGATCGAATTGGAGTGTGCGAATTCGGTGACTACACCCATGTTGGTGTATTCATTTTTGGAAATGGCCTCACCACCTAAATCTATAACTTCTTGGAATATGAAAGGACGCGTACCGGTAGGGAAACCATGTTCAGCGTTTAAATTACTAACACGATTGTAGATTACCTAAGCGTGAAAAGTAGCATATTACTATCATAATGGATTTTTGACGGCTAATTTACCTCGAGATCAGCCGGCCACATATGCTTGGCAGCATCCACACGGAAACCAGCTACACCCAGACTAACAAGTTTGTTGAGAAAATCGACTACACGATCTTGCACCCATGATTTGCTTTGATCCAAGTCCTTCAAACCGGCGAGTTCACAGTTACGCACCTCGTACTTATTATTGTAGTCATTAATTGTGCATGTGGCGTGGAAATCTGTGTTCGAATAAGGCACAGCGGGGAAGCTTTTATTACTCGGATCGGCCTTTGAACCACCAGTACCATGCGCATTAACATTATCGGCGGCCATATGGTTGAATACGACATCTACAAAGATTCGAACACCGGCATTGTTGCAGCGCTTCACCATATTCGCAAATTGTTGTTCGTTGCCCGAACGTGTGGTCAGTAGGTATGAGATGGGTTGGTAACGTTCCCACCACGGACGATTGCCCACAACGACATTCTCATTTACTGGTGAAACCTATTGATTAGGGTTATGTGGGTTTTAGCAAGAGAATACGGCAAGCTTCTTTCTAAGAATGTTATTTGGTCACTATTGACTCACCTGAACACCGCCATAGCCTTTGGGGCCCAAAAAGTTTTCACATTCTACAGCGATATCATCCCACTTCCACTCGAAAAGATGCACCATAGTAGTCCTTCCTCCCACATAGTTCGGATCAAATTGAGCATTGATAGTTTGGCACGATATTGCCAAGATTACTGCCAAGCAGATAGGCGCTTTGCTCCGATACATTGTTGCAGTTGATAACGTCTACTAGGCGGTGTTATAATATGTAAACAAAACTTACGAAGTTCTCTTCTATAGAATATGAAACGAAAACTACTTAGCGTCGCTTTTGAAGACGCCTCTTTTATAGAAATTCTGTTAGATTAGTTTATAAATTGTCAGTGAGTTTATAGTGTAGTTGTAGGCAGTGAATAATGCAGTTGTGCATGCTGAATCTATTTGGCTTTAACTAAACGGTTATCGGTTGCTAATCAGAAATCATTCATCAATTGAGAATTCATTGAAGAGCCGACACAGCTCAAATTACTACGCATAACTTTTGCTTTTTAAAGCGATCTATCACTAGGATAAGTTGTAATGTAGTTTAGAGATACCTACGATTATATATTGGGCTGAAGAACTATGATTGTGAGATCACTAATAAAAGAGATGATACAAAGAGTTGTTCTTGGCTTTGAATAGGAAAAGCTTTTAAGGCTACTCATTCAATTTTAAGGTACTTATATAGCATAAGTATGTGTTACTGAAAAAGTCAGCGCGGTCTCAAAACCGAAGAGAATACTACAATACTTACGAAGTGACTTCCGACCTTAGTTCGATTCATCAGTCTTGAAAATATAATATACTACTAGTAAATACGTTTGTTAAGTGGAGTGACATAATTATTTACATTACAGGGATCTCCAAAGAAGGCTTCAGGATAAAGAGAAAAAATAATTTGCCGATAGCATGCAGATTCCTCTCGTCATTGCTTGTTAATTAAGTTCACTGTCACTACAGTGGAATCGTTTTCCAAAATATATATTATTTACTCTAACTCCGGTTGGAGCTTAGGGTCAATATGGTTTCATTAATCAAGTATCAGCAGAAAGATGGGTTTCCTATTTCGTTGGTATGACTGCCACCTTGACCTAAGAACCTGTCATAAATGTACATGTTTATAATGCGTTTATAACCCAAGCCGCTTGCTCCAAGACCGACGCCCGCTGTAGTCGTCACTATCATGTGAAACAGACGCTACGACATATCGTGCAGAAGCATTGTGTTATGTGGTTTGATTTGTGGTAGCTTCGGTGCTCACATTCGGCCTTACAGATTTGGGATGCCCTGCCAGTAGCTAAGCTACCGCCGTCATTACTCTCAAGATCATTGGCCTTACTAATTCCCTCAATGCAATAAGATAATAATCTTCGAGGAGATTTTTTCAAGATTATGTAAAAAAATTTCCACTCAGAAGGTTCCCTTTTACATTTCCGGCATATTTTTCGATTTATGTGCCGTTAAAATTATAAGGTATGATGTACTGTTACTTGAATTATCATATTTCTTCGCTTGGTTACTCGGCAAGCAAAGTCAATCACTATTGACTACCCAGAAACACTTGTGTATGCAGATTGCTTTTGAGTAGTAATCAATTGTATAGTTCGACAATGCTGTTAGTTTTGAAAACGAGTTATTCTTCATTTGTATTAATTGGTTTAGAAAACTCGCAATAATGAAACCGCTGATACGGTGAAAATGATAAAATTTTCCGCTAGTGAATAACAACGACACTTTGTTGTTGTTATGAACGGAGTTTGCTAATGGGTAAACAAAGTATTATGAAATAAATAGCTACGGTTTTTTCATACACCTATGTTGAAGAAGTTGAGGTATATTACGTATACATATGTATATGTTTAAAAATTTGTATCCTCGCTATGAATTTAAAAAAACTGTTAAGAGATTTTTTGAGAAAAAGAAGCGGTAATCTTGAAAACCTGTTAAGCTGAGTATTTTCAGATCTCGCCTATCACAACGTTCAAGCTGAAAGGAAGGGGAAATTTAGGCACATACATAAAATTTAGTATAAGTAGGTTACGAAAACGGCCCCGAGCTTACTTCACGCCTGTTTACATTTTATGAGGTAAATGGCATATTAATTAAAGTTCACAACCTTTTTTAATTTAACCAAGACAACAACTTTTGTTTACATTTGGTGTCAATAACATTTTTGTTTACATTTAGCCAAGACAACAACCTTTGTTTACATTTGGGTTCAATAACCCTTTTGTTTAGATATTTGGGGGAAAATGACCCATTTGTTTATATTATGAGGTCAATGACCTTTTTGTTTACGTTCTGCCGAGGTCAATGACCACTTTGTTTACATTTTATGCGGTCAATGACCCTTTTGTTTACATTTAGCCAAGACAACAACCTTTGTTTACTCTTGCGCTTAATAACCCTTTTGTTTACATATTTAGGGGACAATGACATACATATTTTTACACTCCTCGAACAAATTGTCCAGATCGGATCACTGTAGCATATAGGCGTCGTACAAGCTGACCAATCATGTTGTTTTTTAATATTTGAAACCTGAGCAGGGTATATTAAGTTTGACACGGTGTTTTCAACGTAGACAGAAACAGACAGATGGACATGGCTAAATCGACTCCGCTTATCATGCTGACCATTTATGTATATATTTTATAGGGGCTCCGACGTTTTCTTCTGGATGTTACAAACTTCGTGGCAAGCGTATATACCCTGTTCACGGTATAAAAAGATCTCTTATAAAGTCAGTTTGTATGACAGCTACATATACTTGTATGTTTTTCATACAAGCTCTTGATTTTGATCGTTCCGTCAAATGAGCAGCTTTGTGGGAAGAAATTAATGATATACATATACAATATCTCAATTATTTGCTTGTTTATTACATATAATGTGCTCAGTTGTTGACAACTATAAATCTTTAGATTTATTTTCATTCGGCGCTTGCTTGTTTATTGCTATATTATTATTTGACACATTTGAGTAATATGCAGAGTAATTAATTCTCGTTAGAGATAACAGCGCATGCTCATGAAATTAATCGGTGCTTCTACGAGTAGCTTTGTACCACCTACAAACTTCATTACCATGACGCCACTACTAATTTCCACTACATACAAGTACATGTGTTTGAGTGTGTGAGTATTACGTCTCTACAGTTATTTGTTTATTTGAACTTATTACAAGAGACCCGATCGCTTATCAATTGACTTGAAAAGTCACAGTAGCGAACAGATTTTGTGTAAGTTGTTATCACTAGATATCTAGAAGCGAGTCCGGTGTGGTAAAATAAGATACACATAAAACAGGTGTAAAGACGCCAGCACCCAAACATGCATATATCTGCACTATATAGCTATTGCTGTTGTTGTTTTTTTTTAATTTTTTGTTTATTTATTGTTGTTTAGTTTAATTTAATTTCACTAAAAAACACAATTTTCTCGCACACTGCTTTGCTATGTCACCGAACAGACGCAACTGATTCAAATCGCTCACTGCATTTAATTTCAATATATGAGTATATGATATGTACGTATATAATAATGTGTGCATACAGATATACTTATATACTCGTTCATAAACAGAAGTGATGAGAACTCGCATTGATTTCGGGAAAACTCGCGTACATACCGCGTAGGAAATAGAGAGCATTGAGCCGCATTCATAACAGTTAAAATTTATTGTTTTTATTATTTGTTCGTCTCATCTTCAGCGCAACAAATTTTTTCTAATACATTGTACTAATTGTAAATAATACTTAAATTTAAAATTTGCCGTTCTTTACGGATGCTTGAAACCCAGATTTTCCTGACATTTAATCATCACAAGTGTCGTGAAATTATATTTAATTACTGAAGAGCTATATCTCTGCTTATTTAACTTTCACTACTACTACAGTGTTTTCTATGCTCAAAGGCTTTACATTGGCAATAGGGAAGATCACTCGGTATTAGACAGTGTATTTAGAGTTGCTAGCGAGAAATTTGAAAACTCACTTATCGACATTTTCAGTAACATAGAGGAAATATGGGCATTTGCCCATTCGACGATTTACCACTAAATTTTTATACCTTGAACAAGTTTGTCACGAAGTTTGTAACATCCAGCGGGAAATGTCGTTAAAGTATATATACGAGCGTGAAGAGCTGAGTGGATTTAGCCATGTCCGTCTGTCTGTATATACGTGAAGTAGTCCATCAGTTTCTAAAAGAGCGTTCTGAAATTTTGCATATATACTTTTCTACCAAACAAGTTGCTCATACGTCAGAACCGCTGATAACGAACCACCGATCAAAATAAAGACAAACATATTCTATACGCTTTTATGCTATAAAAAATGCAGCTTGGAAGGGAATTATAGCGTAGGCGCAGCTAAAGTCAAGGTTTTTTCTTTTTTTTATTAATACAAAGCCATTTCCCTAACGTAATACACATATTATTTATATTTATATGCAGTTCTTTGGTATCGCTTACAATTTGGATTCAACGTGAATGGCCAACACACCATCATCCTCGTTTTGACCAATTGAAATGTGGGCACGACCATCGGAGCCAACCACAATCGATTTTCCTGTACATGATGAACCGGTCTTTTCGCCGGAGATGATGTCACAGTAGGTGCCCGCTGGCAAACAAGTCTGCAACGTGGTGTTCAATGGATCGCACATTTAATTCATCTCTGCGCCTGCCTGGTCGCGTGCTGGCTGCTTCCTGCGCGTCGCTTCGGTCGATCTGTGTTCTTGTCTTTGTCTGTTTTTTTTCCTTGCCGGCTCGTGCTTTTCTCTTGCCTGTCTGCCTTCCTGTCCTGTCCGTGTGTCGCTTTCGTAGTCTCCCGCTTCTCCTGCCCAATATGCTGACTCTTTTCGCTTTCTCGTTCTATTCCCTGTTTTGGCTGGTACTCTCTACACACAGCGCCCGGACCGTTGCCCTATGCCGTCGGTCGCATTGTCTCTCATACGCGGCTCCCCTGCTTTCGTCTATGCTGAGCCTTCTCCGCCGTCGTCTCCTTCGTCTCGTTCGTCGTGGTCCTTTCCCCGTGCTCCGCGTTTCCCTTCCTTTTTCCAAGCTGTGCTCACATTACTACTTACATACAGCTCAACGTCCCTTCACTTTTGAACTAAATTTTGTACTGTAATAGGTATGGTGCCAAAAACGTAGAAATCCCCATTAAGCATGCGGTGTCTCATTGCGTTGCACCTTCTTAGGTTCTCAGTTAGTATATATGTTGTAAATAACTTGAAGTCCGAAAATGTGTTATCTATCGCGATCTTAAACCCCTTTAATAATATTTTAAATGACTTTGTTAAAAATTATATGTATACAAACGAGGTAGCGAATGTTTAGACACCGGCCTGATTTACAATATAGGCTTAAGGTCTTGGTCTTTGCCAAGCGTAATTGTTCCCCATGTGATGTACAATAATGCACAACCATATTGGCAGAAATAAAGATAATGAGAACTGGATAACGGTGGTATACCATTAACGGACCAGATACAATTGATAGTCATGTTGAAACTTTCTCAACACTGAGGCTGGTATTTATGCGCCATGTAGATATTAAGTATAAGTTAGAATTTTCAGATTGATGCTACAAATTATCGGCAGTTCCATCTTTTAGAGGTGCTGAATTTTGTCTTGATGCAAAATAGACGTCATAACTTCTATATTTCGGTGTATCGAGTCTGCAAGGTATTAATGTAGATATGAGCACATTATTGACGACAAAGAAGGCGATTTGGTTACTGCATTGTCCCACCATTCTGTCAAGTAGTACTCGATGCAATGTTTCGGAAGCCAACATGTTGTAAATTTGACGCCAACAGTTGTTCTTTTGAAATTTGTTTGAGATACCAAAAATGGCGGACGTTTTGTGCTAGGACAATCCAATATTGTGTATAGACATGGAAGGATCGTAATTAATTAATAATTTTGCTAGAAATTTACCATTCTTGATTCCCAGTAATTAATATCTTCTGAAAACTAGGTCTCTCTTTCTTTCACATCACCATATCAAAATCACCGATGTCAATATGTAAATTTCTAATTAGATCCATTCTTTCTACTGTTTTACTCCTCAAGCGTTCAAGTTTTTGAAATTCAAGTGCAGTACAACTATTTCTTTCCGATCCATTTTATCGGCTTCGATGTTACAAATCAAAACAATACTGAACTCTCGAATTTTTACTGCTCCAGACACATGCTATATTAAGATTCTACCTTAGCATTTTAAAGATTTAAGGAAGCAAGTATTAAATTATATTGATCTTTACAATAATAGTTGAGCAATTTTAACAGAGCCCAGCCTGTCCAACTCCATATTAACTAATAACAAGTCTTTAAAAATTTTGTCTACAAATAGATTGCGTCTACTTAAATTTATTTTCTTAAGCGTTTAGTTATTAAATTATATATTGTACATTTCTCGACCGTTATATGTACATGTGTGTTAACAGTTTACAGCAGTATCGCTGCGAACACATTAATCTTCACACACCTCCCACTCTAACTGATAGTATTTCTTGCCATTCGCCAACAGCCACAAATTCGCACAGTGATTCGAAAAAGTAGCAAGTGAAAATTTGTTTCGACGAGCTGCCACCTACGCATAGAGAGTGAAATGAAAGATTGTACAAGAAAAGAGAAGCATAACATTCGCATACGTTTCACAGCCATAAAATAGTAAGTTGTGTACAAGGGATTGGAACAATCAGCACTGTACAACGGGCAGTCGGTCCATGTACGATATGATTGTAGATGAACTTCCCGGTAGCATTTGCTTGAGCGCTACATTCTCCCATAATGGCATGTAGCGACTCAGATACTGTACTGCCCTTAGACAGTCGTCGTAAAGTGTGACTTGATTGTTAGCGAGGGCACACAAAAGATGCGACGTGTTCCGAAGGGCAGTAGTAGTCTAGTATTGGTCTCCTTTCCAACACCCAGAAGAAACTGTCGTGTGTTACAGCACTAGAAATATTTTGTAGAGTTATAAGTAAGTTATTGGTTTTAATTACCGAACTTACAGCGGTGTATTTTGCGCGATTATCATAGAAAGTTTGGAAGTGCTTCTCATAGATCATGGGCACGTGAGTAATGGATGTGTTGTGAAATATGCGGACGTGGTTTATGAACTTAGAAGTGCCACTGGCAGGTAAAAAGTGAGCAACCTGACAGAAAAGAGAAAAGTTGTAGAAAATGTAGAGTAAAGGAGACTGTGACAGAAGAGAACAAGTCGATCAGCAATGATAGTTACGTACGATCCGCTGATAGAGATTGTAGTGATGGTAGGTTGGAAACCCGCTCGGGTATATGCCAGATGTTGACATTGTCACTGAGGTTCAGCACGTTTAGACGCTGGCACTCGCTTAGCTGTATTGGCAGTCGTTGCAGATGATTCTTGGATATGTTGAGCTCTTCAAGTTGTTTCAAAGCACCAATTTCTGGAATATCAGAGAAAAAGTGTGTATTTAATTCATGTTGTAAGTGGTGAGTAAAATTTTCAAAAAGACATGCTCTAAAGTTCAACCAATGGATCGAGGTTTGTTTTATTAAGAGCTACATCATTATTACTACGAGTATTTATTCATGAAGAGAACGCGTGAACTGATCGTTTAACATTATTAAAATCATCTGACCTTATCTTAACTGTTTATTAAAAATCGATTATTTGTATCAAGAAATAAATCTTTGCCTCTTGAGTGGTCAGACCACCAATGAATTACATACAAAAGCTCTTGCTATTTTGCTTTATTGTAAGCATGGCATTTCATATAAAAGCAGAAGATTCTGAGATATTTAATTAGTTTTAAATTTTTGAGTCTACGGCAATCTTATCGCTTGTAGTTCACTTAAGGTAAAAACCGAACAATGATCCTGACCAAAATATGTTTCTGTGCTCTTCTGTTTCTCTTCGGTTCGAACCACGAAGCTTGCGCTCAATTCAATACCAATTATGTATTGGGACGTACAACAATGGTTCATCTGTTCGAGTGGAAGTGGAACGATATAGCTCCGAGTGTGAGAATTTTCTTGGTCCTAAAGGTTATGCTGGTGTCAAGTAAGTTAAAAGATTTCTTTGAAGGTTAAAGTGTTTTAAAACATATTTCGATTTACAGGTTTCTCCGTAAATGAGAATATCGTTGTTGAAAATCGGCCATGGTGGGAACGTTATCAACCCATTTCCTATCTTTGACCACTCGTTCGGGCAATGAGCAACAGTTTGCCAATATGGTGATGAGATGTAACAACGCCGGAGTTCGTATCTATGTGGATGCGGTGTTCAACCATATGGCTGCCGATCGCTCCAATCCTCTTGGACTGCTGGCTCAACAGCTAATCCTGAAACAAGAGTTATCCAGCGGTTCCGTACTCCAGCACTGATTTCCATGCTACCTGTGCATCAACACATACAATGATGCTAATCAAGTTCGCAACTGCGAATTGGTTGGTCTAAAGATCTGGATCAAAGTAAAATGTGGGTACAAGCTCGTATTCTTACTTTCTCAACAAACTATCAATTTGGCGTTGCTGGTTTCCGAGTTGATGCTGCTAAATATTGGCCTTCTGATTTAAAGGTAGTTACATTAATAACTCAAATGATGAATAGATGTTTAAATATATTTATTTCAGAATATCTACAATCGTTTAATAATCTGAATACAGAACACTTTCGCTGGTGGTTCCCGTCCATTTATTTACCAAGAGGTCATTGATTTGGGTGGCGAAGCTATCTCCAAAACGAATATACTGACTTGGGTGTGGTCACCGAATTCTTCATTCCGCCTCTACTGGCAAGTATTCAGGGTAGAGACCAACTTCGTTGGTAACCAATTGGGGTCGAAAGGGGTCTTTCCATCGACTAGTGCTTTTGTTTTGTGGATAATCACGATAACAACGTGGACATGGTGCCGGAGGTAGTGATATCTCACTCAAAAATTCGAAACAATACAAAATGGCTAATGCTTTCATGTTGGCTCATCCATTTGGTATTCCTCGTATTATGTCTTCGTTTGCATTCGACAACTCCGATCAAGGTCCGCCAACAACCGATGGTAACAACATTGCCAGTCCCATATTTAATGCTGATAATTCCTGCAGTGGTGGCTGGATATGTGAGCATCGTTGGCGTCAAATTTACAACATGGTTGGCTTCCGAAACATTGCATCGAGTACTACTGTACAGAACTGGTGGGACAATGGCAGTAACCAAATCGCCTTCTCTCGTGGCAATAAGGGCTTCATAGCGCTCAATAATGATAATTACGATTTGAACACCACGTTGCAGACTTGTTTGCCAGCGGGCCTACTGTGACATCATCTCCGGCGAAAAGACCGGTTCATCATGTACAGGAAAATCGATTGTGGTTGGCTCCGATGGGGGTGCCCGAATTTCTATTCGTCAAAATGAGGTTGATGGAGCTTTTGCCATCCATGTGCAATCTAAATTGTAAACTGAATTGTGATCGTATATGGTGGTATATATAAATCCGTTACAAAAAATCAAAATTCGGAGTTTATATTTTAGGCACTTTTGAGTTTAAGAATATTTTTAATTTCTATAAAGTCGACAAAGGCTGCTCGATCTTTGCTTTAAGCAATTTGGACTCATAATTTCAGAGCTTAGGTTTAAGAATTTATTATAATGGATTTACCATGCCACAATTTCATTTCGTTCTATTTAATATAATTTTGTTCTTTAACTTTTGTGACTTTCAGGCCAAAGTTCACTAAAGCGATTCCCTACGAAAAATATATTATTTGAACTAACGTTTGTGATTTCTTTGTTTCAATAGTGAAAAATAACGGTTTCATTTCGAAACTTTTGACATCCATTTTACTTCCACGTTATGCTCCTACTTCCATTCGCCGGTAAATGCTGTTAGATATCACCTTTTAATACTCCATTTCTACTGACTATCTGCTGGTGGATTCTCTGTTTGCTCAGTTGGAGCGGCCTCTGGTGCAGCTTCTGTGGCCGATTTCGCTTCTTCTATTTTAATTGCTGGATCGACATCGACTAACTCAGTTGCAGGTTCAAGGGCCAATAACATATCCTCTGTTTTAATTGCGGTGATCGCGACAACTACAGTGGACTCTACAGTTGCAACTGGTGCAGGCGCAATATTGGGCATAAGAATGGGAGGTCGACATATTTCATCAAATCTAACACAATCATCAGGTAGCGGATCAGGTTTCGTTTTCAGAGCTTTAAAAGCTTTTTTACAGTAACACTGATCGGCTAGTGATTTCATTGAACCGGGTGTATAAGCGCCCTGAGCAGCTTTGGAAAAGGCATCCAGCATTTTAAGAAACTCTTGTTGACCCTTCTGCATATTTTTGCACTGACCCGCCCAAGCCATCATAATCGAAGACTGTAATATGCCATCGAAGCTGAATATTATGGGCCACGGTTTGGGCGATGGATCGATAATTGTGGCGTTCAGCAGGCAAAGACTTTTATCTTCCGTCTTGCCATCCACACGCAAAATGATACCTTGAAACCGAGAACATATATTTGCATCAAGGAAATATGTTTGTGCTTCAAAGTTATTTAAACTCACCACCGACCGAAGCGGGCACGACATGCCTCAGTAAGCGTAATGTTGTTTTTGAGATCTGACCGGGCGAATATCGTTTCGTGCACTTCGGACCCGCATTTAACGCTGGAATTTTTAGTATGGTACCCTCTAGATTGACATGATGATCACAAAGTGACTTATAAATGAATATTAAAATTGCCTCGGCGCATTTTTCAGCACGTTCCATATCATTGTCATCCGATGGCACTACATCTACCTCTAAGATCGGCAGCATGCGTTTCGATTGTGAGATGGCCGCAAATTTTGCCAAGTTATTGGCATTATCCATTATAGCCTGGTACGAAGGCGAATGCTCGCCTATGTTAAACTGTGCACGCCACATGGTGAAATCGCAACCGCAATCTTTATACTCGGCACACCGTGCAGCCAAACCGTCAAGTCCTTGCGTAGTATATTCTCCATAGGTACATAACAAGGGTACAAGCCCCTTATCTACGGTGACTCCAACCAACACATTCTTGCGTCGCAACTGACAATGTAACGCACATCCGTTAGCTGTGGTTTGATCCAATACCTCCGGATGCACGGCAACGCCAGAGACGTACTCGTCCAGTGATTCCTTAACTGAGAATAACAGGCTTCGGTACTGGATGCGCATCTCCTTCGAGGAATTTATACCAAACATTTCCATTAATCGCTCCAGCTGTGAGGGAGACTCGTCTGTGACCACAATGCCATGCCCCAGTTTCATAAGTTCCGCTGCTATATGACGTAGTTCATCAATTAAGCTGCGCGAAGGATAATTAAAATATGTGGACATTGTGGATTATGCAGAGTTTTGCAGTGAAATGGTAGTGAATTTGCAGTAATACTTTTTTATATGAAATTTTGAGAAAAATACGAAATACAGAATATGTTTTTTGTCAAAAGCGTTTGTATTTTTTTTGAAATTTTCTTTTTAGTAATTTTGTATTTGTTTCTTCATAAATTCCAAAGTAGTCTGACTTAAAAGAATTCAAGAATTCTTATTAGATACAGGTTCAATCATATAAGTGAGCTCTATGAATTGAAAATCATGTAAAGTGAGATTCTATAAAAGCTCCATAGTGAAATCGTGGGATGGTATACTAAAGCCGACCCGCTCCATCAATACAGAGTGTGAAGCCATCATGACAAGTGGTCGATTTGATAAAATCAAATGTGTCTCAAACAAAGTAAAAAGTTTAAGCAATTTTTTGTGATCCGATAATTTCTTAGCATCACCATCGTCGATGCACATTATCGTACACAGTTACTCGCAAAATTGTTATGTAGTTTTGGTTCAATGTGATCGTAATCGAACGTGGTTTTTTGAAGAGTCACGTCCAGGTACCGCGAAAACGACAAAAGCCCACGATCCCATATTGCAGATCGTCTATTGAAAATTTACAAGATAGCTGCGATAGTAGAAGACTCCGGACAATTAGCGGAATTGTAAGAGCACTTCACAGAAATCTGTAGTAGTTTCTGTATTGTTTGTAACCGTTGATGAAATATGAACCCATCCACACTAGAGACCAAAGCACAATCGAAACAGTGGACTTAACTCGACGAACCTGCTCCAAAGTCGGCCGAAAATATGATGACTAGCTGGTATTCACAAGATGTGATCTACATTAGCTGCCAAATGTCGAATTATTGCGTCGAGTTGACGCCGAATCGCAGAAAATCGGTCTCATTAGTCGAAGAGAAAATTCCTTTTCAACCATGACAACGCATCGGCTCGTATCCCCATAGTAGCCGCGATAAAGTCGGTAGAATTAGGCAGATTTTATCCCGTGCGATTTCTTTAAAAATTATTCGCTCGGCAAAACTTTCATTCGTATCTCGTAGAGTCCTACTTCACAGACTTCCAGAAAACATATTTTTCATGCATGGTAAAGAAATTGGTGCATCGCTTGATCAAGTATATCGAGCTAAATCGGACTATCTTGAGAACTATACTATACAACTGCCGTTGGTAAGCACCGCTGATATATTTGTTTTGGGAACAGATAATTCGTTTGAGATTCAAAAAACCCTATGATCAAAAAGTAACTATTTAGACCAAATTTTTGCATAAAAAGAGGATATAGTTGACGGACATTAACATCGATGAATCTTGGTTCTGGGAGATACTGATTTGAGCACGACAGGAAGGCAAAAATTTTTGGATATCGATATCAAAAAAAGGTGACATTGACTGGCCTCAAAGATTTTAAAACTTGACTTTCACTAAGCCCTTTCTGAGAAGTTAGTTGAGAATCAAAATGTACGTCTCGGACTAAATTCTTTTAGGCAGTATACATACTTAGTTTGGTGTGTGCAACCCATTAAGTGCTGTTCGTGACAAAAGACTTTCCAAAATATTAGTCGACAGATTGGCCTTATATTGAGATCATATTCTCTAGTGTCGGAACTCTTTGTTCATAGATTGACTCGTAATTAAAGATTGAACTCACCAGCGGGCAGCTCGGTCAGCTCGTTGCCACTCACATTTAAACGTTGTAAGCGGTCTATCAGTCCAATAGTCTTCGGAAGTTCACGTATTTGATTGTTTGAGACATCGAGAAACTCCAGATTTTCCAACAGATACATCTCCTCAGGAATCGCACTCAAATTATTGCCAGCCAAGTGGATGAATTTTAGTGTCGTAACATTCAGCAGCCATTTGGGAATTGTGGTGATGAAATTCTCCTTCAGGTACACCTTTAATGTTATGAATTGGGTCAGTTTTAAGTACAAGTACACTTATAACTTATAACGTAAATTTCTTACCTCTTCGAGGTCTTCATAAAGATAGAGATCCATGGGCACATCCTTGAAGTTGAGATAACTCCAGTGCAGTGTCGTCTTATTCATGGTGGTGTACCGTGGAATGGGAAAGGGCAGACGCGCCTTTTCTTGAGCAATTTTCGTAGTGTTATGGCCACTGAAGGGCAACGTGAGCGTGGTGCAAAACCGTTAAGTAGTATCACTTTGCTGGTGTTGGCAGAGTGGTTTGACGTGCGTTATGCTGACTGGTTTCAATTTGTTATACAATATACACAGCACTAAATTTTCGTTAGTTAATTTTTGCACTAAAAACTTCACTTTCTTCAATTTTACTAAATTATATCACAGTTTGAGCTTCGTGCGAACTAGCGATACTGCAAGAAGCAGTGGAACAAGAAAAAAGAACGTTGCTAAAAAACGTAGCCGAAACAGTATCCGTTGACGTCTTATCGAAACACGAGTGAGGCACAGAGTTTCGAAATATAAAAACTAATTTATGCGGCGCCGAATGAACGGTTCGGTGGTTCTTGCAACACTGCGGCACTTAAACAGGGAATGCTGTCTTCACGTGCGAAATATGTGCATGTTAATCGAACATGAAAGCTACACGAAGACTAAAATGTGACAGTTCAGTGAAAATACACAATCTAACTGTGGACCCAAACGCCAGAGATTGGGCTTTCCTCGAAGGCGTTCTAAAAAACACAAAACAATTTTTGATTAAAACTGAGTATTTTTTAAAGAAATTGTGTTTATGCTTTTTGTCTCTTATATTTACATTTTTTGCCAAATCTATTTATTGCGCGAAGATACTATTTTTATTCTAATAAATGTTATTTTGGCACGCGGACAACAAATTTTTTTATATTAGTTCAAGTACGAAAAGAAATTTGCTTTGCAATCTCACTGCGTAAATTTCGTACAAAAAATCTCACGCAAATAAACAGAAATTTTTCAAAGCGCAACAAATGAAAAATGTTGTGAAAACCACGCGACAAATTTTGAAAATGAAATGAGCAACGCACATAAAAACAAAATAATAATAAAATAAATTGTGTAAGTGAGTTGTTTTTGAATTCAAAAATTGTGTATTTAAAAAAGTGGAAAGACCATACGAAAACTACAGTGCGTGCAGAAAATATGCTTATAAAATTTGTGTTCTTAAGTTTATGAAAATAGTCCTTCAATTGTTGCCAATCATTTATATAATTTTTTATGACAGAAATACTTTTGAAAATAATTGCTGTCGAGTACAAATTATTTACAACCGTTTGTGCGAGTTTTATATGCCAGAAATATTTTCCAAAGCTCGAGCATAATTGCTGTCGTGTCCTAACAGCTTTTATAAAATAAATTTGTTCAGTAAGTATTAACTTTTTGTGCTTTAAGGGGCACAAATAGTATGTAAATAAAAAAAAAGTATAATTTGATAGGTTATACCTTTGAAAATAAAATACTAAAATATAAATATATACTAAAAGTTCAAATCAATATCTCAAATAGTTATTGAGTTACAGCTTTCTAAAATGTAGCCACTCAGTTCCTACATTGTGATGATTCTATTAAAATTCATATTCTTCATAAAATTCAACTGTTTTTGTAAATTTTTGAGTCTTTATCGACCCTGGGTTATTGTATGGACAATATTATCTAGTAGAGAATTCATCAGAAGTGGAGGACCTGTTTTTTAGCGCTGTCGGCGATTTTTCTCATAATTAGAGTTTTTTAGGACTCTCACACTAGGTGTGCCCCTTAATTTCTCTGATTTGATCTCAGCAAAAATTTATTTTTATTAGAAAACTTGTAAAATGTGAAGAATATATTTTCAAAACACTTCTTCAGAGTCACGTGTTTATAATGGTTCATCTTAAAGTTAATTTTTTTTATCTTGAAAGGTAGTAAGCACGAGAACTATCCTAGCTTATAACAGTATAATTATTTCAAATAAATCTTAGCTAAAATCCAATTGGGAAAGTGTACACCGATTATAGTCATATTCACAAACAATTCAATGTGAAACTTCACCCACTAAATATAATTGAGTTTTCTCTATCTTACATATTTTCTCTCTGAAATATATGGGAGAAATGTCCAAATATAAAAAGATTTTATATGGAACCACTGTTCGGTCGTTGCTCTTATTTGATTTTTCACTCATCAAACTTATTTGGGTACTCTCATTCTCTCTCTCGCACTCTTCTTTTTCAAGGATACGGTAGAGTGTAAAAATATTTGGAACTGAATACGTTGAAAGTCTTATATCAAATAGCGATAGATAACTACCGAATATATTCTACAAAAGATATTAGAAAAGATGTTGGAATGCTCACCTGTCTCTATATCCTTTTCTTTGGCTAAAAATTCGTCAGCTGTGTTATTGATATATATTGCTTTAGGTGGATTGAATGTTGTAGTCGTATTAACTTGAAATCGAACTGCTTTAAAACTCCCCTAAACTGCTCAGAAACTAACCTAATTTTATTAGTTCCCTTCCACTGTATTTCCAAAAGGGTTTTTATTGCATTATTTTTGTCTTTATTCGAAATTTTTCATGTATGTATATTAGGGTGAGTCAAAAACTAACCTATCGAGTTCAAGAACTTAAAATGAACTTTTGATGATATACAGAGAATAAAAATATCCCCCAAGTTATGATGTTTAGCTTGATTTTAAAAGAAGTCGGCGAGCACAGTGAAAAAAATATGTTTTCATTAAAAATAGCTTAACTTTTTAACCGTTTAGCAAACAGTTTTTATTCAGGTTGAGCATAAAATAATCTAAAATTTTTACTTGTAGATATATTTTTTCTCTGTATAGAAATATGTATATGAATTACATGTGCTAAGCGAGTTTCGTGCCTTCTGAAAAGGATTAAATATTTTAAATAGAAACTATTTAACCCACAAAAAGGTGGAATATATCGGCCTAATCTCTAGCAATAGCAAATAATGACAGATGTATTTATATTAAAATGTGCAAATATTTATTTGTAAAAAATTACAAAAAAATTTAAATTTACTTAAAATAAAAAAATTTTCCGTCAGTTATTAAAATTAAGTATACATATATAAAAGTTTGCTGAAAACTATTTGTTTAATAATGTATACTTCCAGCACACACTGTATTATTTTGGAAACACATTTGGCCGCTCTCTATTATTTTTGTTTGGCACACTCACACATTTTCGTATTTTGTATTTAAATTTTAAAAGTGCAAATTACTGCACATCCAAAGAATCCGTAAACATAGATTTTCAATGCCACCAACGCGGCGGCGGTTTACGTCACAAGAAGAAATGCACGAAACAACGCGGCGTTATCTAAAAAAAAAAAGAAAAACCGTGCACGTTTACGCGACCTTGACACACACGGAGCGCACATAAAAACCCGTTGCATACTTTGTGGCGACGATAAATGTTCCTCATACGCCGTAGCTTACAGTGGGACACACAGCAAAAAACCAAATTATTTAAACACTTCACTTTTCGATTTGAATTCCATTTTCGTTTATTGCCAAAAAATATTTTTACTTAATTTTTCCGACTTATATAACATGCATTAGCGTGTCACCGCTACTTGAGTGAACTGTTCACACGCGTTGGTCAGCTGCAGTGAGTGTGGTGATTTTGTGGCGTCGCGGCACTGCCGAGCTCGCCGTTGGCATTGACATTGCAATTTGGCTGCAATTGCCCTTTGTGTCTCTTGTGATTTTATTTTTGTACGATTGCATCGATTTTGTACTTAGTGGAGGCTTTGCATGTGCATATGTGTGTACATACATATATGTTCACCACATTCATGCAGCTTTTTTGCTCTCACATTTTCACGGTCAACTTGCAACCTGTTGGTTTTATGCAATTGCCGTATTTGTTTTGCGAGCATTTCTGGTGGGCGCGTGAATTTGCTTTTCCATGCACTTTGTGAGCTTTTCGTGGAGCTTTTGAAAGCTTGGTGGACTAATAGCATTCTCTGTTGAAAGTGAGAGTGTGATCAGCTGTTCAATGCACAAATGCTATCATATGCTTTTGAATAAGGAATAATAGAATATATGCGTACAGTTGCATTCGTTAAAATGAAGATGCAAAGGGAAATAAAAGCAACTTTATCATTCATTATGAAATCTAAAATCAGTCTAATTAGCAAAATCAGGAAAAGGTAGTAATGACTTGGTGCTGGGCTCGTACTATAAGGAGGATGCAATTGAACTTTCCAAAAAAGCTACCGGAGCTTCTGGCGGGTCGCAATTGATGTGTGTAGCCTGGCATTGTCTTGGTGAAACACAATTTCTCTTATATTGGTCAAAGCTAGTGGATTTATAACATCAAAATTACCGGTACAGAATCGCCGAAACCAAAATTGTCCGTAATTGGCTTTTACAGTATCAGACCTATAAACACTATACACATTTTAAGCCACTGGCTTGAGTTTTCACCTTTATCGAAGCAAAGCGGTAAAATATGGCACATTGTTTCTTTGCTGGTATCCATCTTTTGACGCGTGCATATACAGCACTGAGTCAAGGAATCACAAAAAAAGTTCAGGATAATCTAAGAATATCTTCTGAACTTAAGATTGCATAAAATAGGATTTCTTGCAATTTCTTCTACTGCTCTCTTTCTTTTAATAAGGAAAAATCAAATTTTGTGAAAAAAAGTTTATTTGGTAAATACTTTTCAAATACAAATAATTATATTCCTTTAACTGAAGAAAAGATCACAGTAATAAACGTTTTTAAACTTTCGTCTTCGGTTTCCAAAATTAGAAAGGAAACTTTCCACGTAGCAGTTAATGCCTAGCACTTAATAGTATCCATGATATCCGCCACCCCAATAACCACCGTAACCGCCATGATGATGTCCGTGATAATGTCCGTGATGATGATGGTGGTGATGACCGTGATGGTAATAAGGTATCGGCGGTCCTGGTAGGGGATAGTAACCCACAAACACGGTCGGCATCGAAGTTGCCATGCGAGCGAACACTACTAGCAGACTGAGGACGAGAGCGATGAGTGGCTTCATTTTTCACTTACTTCAATACGAGTATGTTCTGAATTGCGTGAAAATTTTTGAAATGTGCGCCCAACCTTGACTAAGTTATTAATAATAGCCAAATCAAATATTTGCAGCATTTTATAGAAATTTTAAGCTTCGCCCGGTAAGGAAAACTCATATTCAATGCTTGTTGTTACTGTCACACAAGCGTAGCTACATTCATATTTAAATTTCGTATGGTATTCGTTTATTAACTGTAATGCCGACTGTTAGAAACAAATCGTCTGACATTAGTTCTCATCGAAAGCAGCACGCTGGCGGTGACTTTTCCCAGTTTGGCGGCAAAATGTGAAATGACGAGAATATATATACGACTAAAGCAAAATTGTGAGTAATTGCAAAAGATATTGATATAAGCTAGCGGGCTATCGCAAAAATCATGCCAAAACCAACACTCCCATTTTCTCCGTAAGAAACAAAAGTGAAATAATTTTTTGTGAAAATATGTCAGAAAAGTCGATGAAAAGTGTAGTGCTGCTATTGGCACAAAATAATTGCGATAAGTATCAAGGTACCAAGTTGAAATCTCCAACTGTATTCCGCTTAATTAGTAAGTTCGTCGCTAGCTCTGTTTATTTTACTATGTGATCAAATTGTACCTCCGGACCATTTCAACTGCGCGCAAGCAGAATCGATAAATTTTTTTTTCCAGATTTGTACAATTTTTTTATGATCGTGGGAATTTTGATCTCCATATGTCAATTCGCATGTGTTAGATACCTGTTTGTTTACGACGCGAAAGTTTTGTCTGGCGATTTTTACTATTGGAAAATATATTGAACAATGAGTTTGCTTGAGATCTTGTGTTTTCAATGGAATCACGGCCACGGCCACAAAATTTTGCAGAAATATTTTGAGGTGTCTACTTTATCACAAACATAAATATTTGAGTAGCACTAAGCATTCAGTGAAGGTTTTGAAGTCATTGAAAACTTGCCTCATGCGAGTCGCCATCTCTGTTAATGACATAACTTCAAAAAAGTTAAAGAGACAGTGCTCGAAAATCGACGTGTTTGCATCAGAGTTATAGCAAAGGAGCATAACATTTCTTATGGATCGAATTAACAGATTTTGGTTAATGTTTTGGGTATGAAGCGTGTCAATGCTCGACTCTTATCAAAAGACCTGAATCTTTTACAAAATCCACGTCGTGTAGTAGTCGCAAAAGAGTTGCTTGACTTGCTGTGGATCATACATTCATCAAGCGCTTAATTGCTGGTGACGAGACGTTGCTTTATGAGTATGACGTCGAAACTGTCCAACAATCTAGCTAATGGTGCTCCAAAAATGAGCCGAAATCGAAAGAAACAAAATTCGAATTCCAAGTTCACTGTATGTCATCCCAGCCGAGGCTTATAACAATTGGCTTGTATTAACTCGGGAGCGATAATAATGATTTGTATTAAAATACGTGACAATATAATTTTTTTATTAGTCATTGTCAAATTTTTATCAGCTGCACAATGGGATAAGTATATTCTTAAATTAAACTGTGTTCAAAAAAGACCAAAGTGAAAAATCATCAAATTTCTTAAAAGTGATAAATGTTTTCTCGAAGTCAGTACTTTCCAAAAAATTGAACTTTAAATACTCATAATTTTTAAAACGTATTTTATTTCTTATACATATATTGGGTAGCTGCCCGAGCTCAACGTTTCTGCTATTATGAGCATCGTTCAGGTACAAAAATACTTTCAACAACACATTTCACTCAATTCCCCATACTTAAATACTACTTAAACACAAAGTTAATATGAAGCATAAATTACTGTAAGAACTCCATTTTTCAGCTTTTCGATCGTTAATTACTATCATCATCCTCAAAAATGTGGATAAGCATGGTAACCATTGAAGCCACCGTAGTAGCCATACGGATAGCCCGGGTAGCGGCGATAGTGGTACGGTGAGCCATAGTAGATCGGCGCCGAACGCACAATTGGAACGCCAACACCGACGCCGATACCAACGCCAACTCCAGCAATTCCACCGACTCCTATAATGTGCGACGAGTGCGCGTGCTGAAGCACCAAGGCGAAACACATAAAAATTACCAAAATAAACTTCATTTCACCGCTAAGCACTTAATAAAGAAGCCTCGCTCGATAGACTCACTCTGCACTGCGTCTGAGATGCGTTTATGATAGCGAAGAATATGGGTAAAGTTATTTATACAAACCGTTTTAAACGTTATTGTAAATCACATTCAATTACTCTATGTTGATCTAGAAACCGAGTTTAAGTGAAATGCAAATAAACACAAACACGAATTCAAGAGAACTGATACCTGAGAAGGGTGCTAAGGAATAGTGAAAAGAGAATATTTGGCAAACATTTTGGGTTGCTTTATTGATTTTATTCATTTACATATTAAGGTGAATGCAGATGTATGTTCACACATATAGGGTGGCTAAGCGGTGTGAATGGATTAGAATGTTTAAAAAAACATCTCAAACTCTTTAAATACTCGCCTCATAAAAACGACATAAACCTACCTACATAAACATTAAATTAAAAAAACTGAGTAATTGTAACCGAACATTTGATACTGTCGCCGATTCCGAATACTGAAAAATAAACAACAACATCTTTACGTATTTTAATAAATATCTTTATAATCGTCTTCAAACTAGACTCTCTAGTCAATACATGCATGCCAACGCTTAAGCCAATTTTCGATACACTTGTTATAAGTTACGGTTGGGATGACCTTCAGCGAATGACTTTTAATGGTTTCAATGAACTCATGGTGCTTTTCCCGATGCGGACTTTTCAGTTTTGAAAATTGTTTCGAGAACAGAAGTCACAGGAAGCCAAATGTGTTAAAGCTGGTGGCTGAGCGATGACTCTCGTTTCGTTTTTAGCCAAAAAGTCAGTCGCAGTCATGCTAGAATGTGACGACGCATTATTGTGATGAAAAATCCATGAATTTTCTGTCCATAAATCCGGTCGTTCACGACGAATTGCTTCACGTAGACGCCTCAAAACGGCCATGGTATTCTTTATTGACCGTTTGACTTTGTGGAACGTATTCATAGTGAAACACACCACTTTTATCAAAGAAAACGATTTTTGATTGTTGATCGACTCTGACGTGGTTTTTTTGGCGATTTCGGCTCTTTTTTCGAACATCATTCACTAGATTGTTGGACTGCTTCAACATCATATTCATATAACCACGTCTCGTTACCAGTAATGATGCGTTTTATGAATGTAGGGCGCTGAGCTACATTCTCAAACATCTCTTTTGCGTTTTCTTTTCGATGTCGTTTTTGGAAAAGATTCAGGTGTTTTGTACGATTCAAGCATTCACACGTTTCATACCCAAAACATTAACGAAAATGTGTTGAGTTCATCCATAAGAGATGTTGAGATACTCTGCTATCTCTTTGATCCCAACAATCCGACGATTTTCAAGTACTTTTTCTTTAACTTCGTCGATGCCGTAGCAGTAATTCCATTGAAAACACAAAATTTTCACAAATTCCTTCAGGTTTTGTTCCATGAAAAAGAAATGACAGATTATATGCTAGATGTACTGGATCAGTTTTACTAGATTTATTTCGCAACAATTTTTCCTCCTTTCTCATTTCTTCCTTTGGATTCGACTAGAGCTTCACCCATTATAAATTTGTTTACACCTTTTTTAAGCTACGATGCTGTGTCATACATATATTCAATGGATATGGGGGTAGAAGTGCTTCCCCGAAACGAATTTACCGAACTTAAGCAAATATTTACCCACTAATGTTTGTATTATATATGTCGAATACAGTAGCGCTGACAAAGAAACTATTATTCGAGCTCTGAGATTTGTTTACTCATGAACTCGTTTAATTCATTAGAAGGCTTGTAAATATAAATAATTGAGAATTAAAACTGTTTGGTAAATATTAAGTTTTCATTTTTCATTAATCACTATTTAATTGATTTTAATGAGGGGTTTCCCATTCACTGTCAAAAAGTCAATGACTATGTTTCTTGATGTCACTAGTAATTAATTCCCAACTCAGAGTGAAGTGTTGAAATTCACATGCATTATTTTCCGAAAAACTAATGGAGATTTGCATATAAGGCAATATTTTCGCAAAATCATGCGCTCAAAAAAAAAAAAAAATTTTCATATAAAGTGAAGCCCCATTATTCACCATGAAATTGCAACCAAATCGATATATGCACATACGAGTAGGTATGTCAGTTTTCAACAATTTTTTTGTTGCATTTTTTTTTAATAAATAAATAGAAAACAATTAACAGCTATGCGTATGCATTTGAGCAATAATATCACACTTTACACGTCTCTCGCCTCACGGCTCTCTTTGCACGTCCACCTGCAGCTGCTTGTAATCGCTGTCACTTAGGAAATGCCACTCGTAGCCGAGCATTTGCGACACTTCACGTTCCACCGCATCATAAGAACGTGACGTGTGCCGCAACCATAAATAGAACTCAACGGACCATTCGGGATGTCGTGGCCAATCACAGCGTATGATGACCGCAAAGCGACGTACATGGAGACGGCGCAGATTTTTCGCGGTACGTGCGATCAGCAGCACTGTGGAGGTGGACACTTTCTCGCGTACGAACTGTGGAGGAGAAATGTAGCAGAGGCGCTTATGATACCGTTAAGTGTTTAGTATTGTGTCTGAAACTCACTAAAGTATGCAGATTGAAGCACTGACGAGCGATCAGCAGCATCAGACTGTCGACACGATTGTGAAATGGCTTGGGACTGGTAAAACGCGGCAACATTTCGTAGCCGTAAACGCTGAGTTTATTTTTATAGTGGTCCACCATGCGTAGGACAAAATCTGTTTTGATCTAAAAGAAATAAGTATTTTTAATATGAAAAACAATGACTTAAGTAAGGTAAAATTATTGGGTAACTCTTTACGCAAGTATAACTCGCATAATAATTTAATAAACAGATCTCTAGTTAATTTTTGACTACAAGTATTTACGAACTTTTAGCGCTCCGCTGCGCATGATACTAAGAGCTATTTGAGAAGTTTTTGATCCACGGTTCGATGCAAATTGTGCACCTTTTGTGTATAGCTGAATTCTGTATTAGCGTCTTTGGGAAGATATCAAATTAGCTCTGAACTTGCTATAGCTCGATCTTCCTTAAAGTAGGGCTAATGCTCAGACCCACTAACCTTGGATTTTGGCGATTCATAAGTGACACTGCACACAGGCGCTTCGGGCTGGAATACAACTTCGCCCTCGCCCAACGATTCTACGCGCAGATGCACCTTCAGCCTCGGATTATCACGTTTCAGCTGCCGCCACACCTTCACGCTACATGGCGAAATCGAGAGGTAAGTGGAAGTATAACGGTTTTGCAACAAATGCAAATGTTTCAATTTGGTATCGGCCAAAAGCAACAACGCATCATCGTCGATGTTTTGCGGAGAAATCGTCAGAATCTGATTTATATAAAATATTTGTTAAATAACAAACGGCTCATTTATAAAAATGGTGACTCTTTTGGACTTACCTGCAGATTGATAAACAGTCCCACATGCATTATGGGACAGTGTGTGGTTGTGACATTTACCAGATTCAGCACACGCATCTTCGTGCAGCACGCTTCCAGTACCTCATCAAGCAAATGCTTCGCCTCGAAACGTTCCAATACAAAATCGATTAATTTTAATGTACGCAGATTACGTAATTTGGACAAGAGCTCCTTGAGACCTTTGAGCAATTGACCGCCAGTGCCGAATAATTTAATGCCCTCCGGATCGTTGGCTTGCGACATATTGCAGGGGAACACGTAGACAAGCGAGCGTATGCGTGAGCCAACATTCTTGAGATCCGATGGTGCTTTCACTTCTGATCCCTTTTTTTCGATATATAAGAATGAAAATACCGTTTAAATAAATAACTGAAAACATTTCGGTACCCACTTTGGTCATACTCCATGAAAGCATTGTCATAAATTGAAAGATATTATTGAAGCTATGCTCCGGTCTGAATTCTAAGCCGCGCAGATATTTTCCAACACGTGACAGACAATTTTGTGTTCGTATGTGATCCAAACAATATTGCCAGCCCGAGTAGTAGTTGTATTTGGCGCGTGTGAGTGTTCGATCGTCGACTAGAAAGTTACGCCACACCAGGGGCAGATAGAAAGCATTATACCATTGCTTACACACCTGTGGCGAAATTAATTAGAAAATTGCAGTATATAAGTATTCATAAATATATACTCGTATGTATATGTGAAAAACTCTATATGTATATAAAGGGTGTCTCAAAATAATGCAGTTAATTGAAAATCTGTGTACCCGAGTATTTTAAAACACCCTGATTTTCAGGATTTCTAGGGTTTATTGAGCGACAAAAATAATTGTATGCAATTTTGTTCGAGTAGCCACACTTTGTTTAGAACTTTCTTGAATGATCGATCTTATAAACTTTTCCAGCTGTTCTTCTCCCTTCGATCCAGACGCTCGCTAGAAGCTTGGAACAAATACGTAATGCTACCAATTATTTTTAGACACCCTTTAAATTATTGTATTATACTCACCAAACTAGCATAATACCGTTCTCTGTAGGTTAGATATGAGAAGATTTCTTCCAACAGTATATCCGGTAAAGTGTGCCATTGTGAATAGTTACTGTCATTTTCAGCTAATTCTTCATCTTCGGGTTCATCAATGTCTATATAGCAAGCTAAGGGCGAAATATGATTTTTAACATATATATAAATATATGAAAATTTTTGGGAGCAGGGTTGCCACCTGCATAAAAATTTTGACTTAATATGGCTTATAAAATAAACGAATTATTACAATACCAATACCAAACTAACATCGGCTTAAAAAGAATTATACTTGTAGTTCAAAATTTTTTCGTAAAATGTTGCCAGTTTTTTTTTTATTTAATAAATGACAGAGGAAAAATTAACGGGAAATTACAAACCCAATATCAAATTATCTGAGATGATAATTGAAATATAATAAAAATCTTACGACAACGTCGGCTAGGCAGCTTGTGCGGAGATATGCGGAGATATACCGTCTGATCAAATTTGAACCGGATTGACAAATAACAAAAAACTACATTTTCACGAATTTTAATAGAAATATTTGTTATCGTCTTCAAAAAAGCCACTTGAGAAAATACAAGCATGCTAATGCTTAATCCATTTTTCCATACAGTTGTTATAAGCCTCGGCTGGGACGGCCTTTAGTGGCTTCAGCGAATTTTGGCTTTTTCGGTTTCGGCTCATATTCGGAGCCATTCGATAGATTGTTGGACAGTTTCGACGCCATATTCATAAACGCAGTAATGATGCTTTTGATAAATGTAGGGTCTTCAGCTACGTTGTCAAGCATCTCTTTTGCGACCTCTATGTTACTCGTCGTCGCTTTTGCAAAAGATTAAAGTCTTTTGGTACGAGTTTAGTATTGACACGCTTAATATCTAAAACATTAACTCCGTTAAATGATTGTGTATCCAAAAAAAAAAGCAAAAAAAAAATTATCAACAAAATTTACAAAAAATAAAATTACGAAGCACTATTTCGTTAATCAAATGTATGTACAATGTACCACATATACAGTTATACTTATAATTCAATCAAAATTAAATCAAAAATAGCTACAAAATTGCGCGTCTGAAAAGACAAGTGCAAATCAACAATTGAAAATTTAATAACACAAAAAAAAAATACACACACATAAGAGTGAAGCGTATACATATTAGGGTGGGTCAAAAAAATTAATGCTTTTTTTCGCTTAGTACTCTGAAAAATTGGTTGATAGACACCGCTAAGAAAGTCTCTACACATATGAACTCTTAATTGTCACAGGGGTTCTCCACCGTACAATTTTTTATTTTTATTATTATTATCCAAAAATATTTCATTAATTATAATTATAGAATATTATTATTTTTTAATTAATTATAGAATATTATTACTTTAATAGAAAAAAAGATATAAGACTATGACATAACCCAACATAGACGAAACGAACTGACAAAGTTGCAAAACAAAGCTTTTCTCAGCCTTCGTTTATGACGTCATGAACTTATGAATTTTCTGTCAAAGTGATAATAGAATAACATACCTTCAATCGTCTGTACTCTATATTAATATTATAAAGAAAAATATTTGATTGTTTGTTTGTTTGAATTGAATAGGCTCCCAAACTATTTGAAAAAACGGATTTGAAAAATTCTTTCACCGTTAGGAAGCTACACTCGCTCCGGTGAATATAGGCCATACCTTTTTTTTCAAAAAAGTTAAAGATCCTTGCTACAGCGCTAATAATGTAACCCAAGGTATAAAAAAAATTACCTACAAAATTTCTTACATAGTATGCGCTGTTATATTCGCTTGATTCTATTGATTATAGAATAAAATTATGTATTACGACTTTGCAGAACATATAACTATCTACCAAAAATGTCGCGACAGCAGATGTCTAACTGTTATAGTTACGTCACAATAAGTGTTCTTTTAAATTAAAAAATAATCACAATTAAAATGTCGCCTCTGTAAAAGCTCTTTATTTGTTCCTTAGTATTGAACATTATCAAAATTAATTACTTCATATTCAAGATTGATTCAATACCTTTTGTATAACTTTTCGAATTGTTCGATTCGGATATTCCGTTCGAAAGATATCACGAATTTAATAATATAAGTATTAGCGAAAGTCGTGTGGTGAGCGGCGACCCACTGCAGGCTGCAACCTAATATGCGATGTAGGCGTCATTGAGCTACAGAAGGGGAGTCAATGTCATGAAATAAAGTGTAGAGCGGCTAACTCGCTCTCTACGAAGCGGTCGTATGCGGAATAGATTATAAATCATATTAAAAATTCGATGTTCAGATCGTCTATATGAAGTCTTCTTCCCCCAAGTAGGATGGCAAATGGAGTGATCTGCTAGTATTATATAATAGTGTTGTCAATTTACTTTATCAGGTGGAAAAAGTATGCTTGGAAATGTTTCCTATCTAGTTATAATTAGTATTCGAGATAAAATAGTATTATTTTGATTGTGGAGGTTGAAATTTGAAGAACTCTTCATATAAAAAATTTGCCTAATTTCTAGGTATACGTATAAAGTTATCTTAAATAGGAGCCACCCTACTGTACATATATGTATCTTCGTACATGTAAATATTTATATATGCGTATTTAGTTATACCGTTATACTGTCTTACCCTCATCGTTTTGGTCGATCTTCCAACCGGCTTTTTGCATCACCTCCCTGCGTCGGGATATCGTGACTGCGGCCATTTTGTTAGCCCCGCACTAGAACTTATATTATATGTAGTATATGCAAAGCTTTTTCGTTTGCTTTTTGCAAATAAATTTTATTGGATTTTCTAAATCTTATTTGGAACACATCACCAAAGCAGCAAAATGAGTAAAAGTAGTGCAGCAAAACTCCAACACGTAAACATTGAGTAAACCAACGGTAAAATGCGAGTTGTGCGTAAGAGTAAGTTTTCACTTGTCTGACCCACTTTTTTTTTAGGAAAATATTGAAAATGATTGAAAAAAGCAATTGCACAATTTCGTCGTCTTCAAATAGTTTTTCATATTACCAAACAGATTCGCGACGTATTTTCGACTAGAACAACGGTTGCGTATCGAGACCCGATGGCGCAGGTATACGAGTGGAAGTGCGCGCGATTTGTATTTTCGAAATGTAGCAAATTTTTGAAATTTCTATTTTCTAGTTTTCGTCGCCACAGTTGTTGCTGCAAACACACACACACACACACACACACAAGCTTATGTGCATATGTTTGCGGAAAATAGAATCGAATTAAATAACAAAAAAGAATTATTTAATCGTTACGTTCGCTATTTATTTTTAAAAAGCAGAAGCAAAAAAGAAGATTATTTAATCTTCGTGTTTTCTTTCGACATTTCACAGTTTTATTTTTGTATGTGTTTGATTTTTTTTTTTTACTTTTTTTTATTGAGGCCTGTTCGTAAACGTTCGATACTGGCGACCACTGACACATTTCACTTTTTGAAAAACGACGCACGAGCGCTTGCCGTTTGGTCCATTCCCGGTGATGCGAATTCGTTTGAGTGCTTCTCGGCACTTTTCTGTTTTAGTTTTTTTAATTTTTTAGTTGTTTTGGCTCGTTGCTTATGCTCTCTGATTCTAAACACTAGTTTAGTAGCAATTTTTTATATATTTTCAAGTGGTATAAACATAAATATATATTTAACAAATGTACATAAGTTCTTACATATCTATTGTATCGCATTTTCCTTTGCATATTTGAACGGTTTTGTTTTGCTTTGCGGTTTTTGGTTTTCACGTGTCGTTTCATCCGTAATTTAAATCGACAAATTATTATATTTACATATGTACATTCAGATTACCGTAGAAAAATAGGAAATTCGAAGTGACGGAGTCTCTTGTGCGTGCGACGAAAGTTGCGCGCCCCCTTTTGGGATAATATTATCCACCACAGATGTCGAGCAGATTGATTGCTGTCAGAGAAATTGTTTTTCCTATATATACATACATATTTTTGTATATATATGTACATATATAGATCTTAAAACGTTTGTATGTATGTAAACAGCAGTTTGTTAATGCAAATGAGCTATTCTGATATTTATGTGAGCAGCACTAAGATGCGTTGGACACGCGACTAATTATCTAAATATGAATATGAAATCATATCGATGACTTCGATTTGTTTTGGTTTTGAGAGGCGTTTTTCTAAGCAGCTGTGATTACAAATATACACGAGTGCCGTTTGATAAGCAAAACAACACTTTAAATTAGTTGTCCTAGGCTCGTCAAGCGTTGGAGAGTAACGAATCGAACAAACTATACCAGCTGTTCAAACCTTAAAAGCCATCTATCGGTTAATTCAACGTTTAATTACCCAACAGCGCTACCAGCAACAACTCTAATCGAAACTATTATGTACGTGTGATCGTTCATCATTTTCTTATGCGAAATTCTTATGTGTAGACAGTGTGTATGTGTTAGTATCCGCTGAAATTCTTTCACTGGAATAGACTTTCTTGCCCACTTACGCATTACCCATTGATTTGCCCTTTTATGCTTTAGTGAACTTTCGGTGATATAAAACATTTTGGTAACCTCTTAAATCAAGTACTATTCATGCCTTTCTATAAAAAACAATTTTTTATTTCAAGTCTTAAATATGAAAAAATTGCTGTATTTTTTTTTTTGACTGTAATATGATATTGATTATTATGTACAGATTGCGAAGCCACCACTACGGATTGTACAAAACTTAGAAAACTGCAACAAAACTTGTTGTTAAATATTTTAAAATATTTCTGTATAGCCTCTTTATCTTATCAGCCCATTTGTCGACACGGTGGCTACAACTCAAAGTTTCTGAAATAAGGCAAGTCACCGCTAAACCTCATACATATACATATACTTTTTGCTACAGCTGAGATCATTCCAGCTACAGCTAATGCGCTTGGCACAGTGCCCTGAACTCAAATGACGGTATTTTTAGAACTCCTAAAGGAAATTATTTTTCTAATAATATCAGCGTCTGTAGACAAAGCTCCATAGTACGCTTCATATATTGGTGTGTGTGCATGTAAGTATGTATGCACTGGTATTTATAGCTGGAATTATAGTGCGCCTTTTCACAGTCTAAGACATACATACAAACACAAATTAATTATAAATACATATATGTGCAGCTTTTATAAGTAGCATGTGAAACGATTTCAAAATACACAATGATTTCCAGCTTATGACGTCACGGTATGTTTCTCCTAAATACTGCAATATATACGCATTGTATTGTAAACAAATAAAAATGGTTTAAGGCCAAATTGATGAAAGCTATACGTAATTAGTGATGTTTGTCAGGAAAATAAATTATCATTAAATTCCAAGAATTTTTTTAAATTCTTCGCTATACGCTGTAGGTGCTACTGATTTCATGTATTCATAAGGATTTCAGAAGTTTCTTTCAAAATTCTTCTTATAGTCTCCACTGACATCCTTACTGTTAGAGTTAAATATTGCCTTATTTGAGTTTTTGCCAAAAATCTGAAACAGAATAAGCACTCTGCTGAAAATGAGCACCCACACAATATCACACGCTCTTCTTTGAGCGCCTTTGAAGGAGTTTCAATTGAATGTAAAAGGTATATAATGCAATATATTTTCATTAAAAGAAATATTTCCCTAAAAAATAAGAGTATTGATTGAAAATTGTATACGTATTATCTGTACCATCCGCGAAACATTTTTTGAAGCATAAACCTTGGCAGAATCGCAACAAAATTTATAAATAAGCCTAAAAGTATGCTCTCTTTTATCAGCTTAGAAAGATATAGTAAGTTTTTTTTAAGTTAAATACAATTAGCAAAAACTTTGAGTTATTGTTATTTAGTTTGCATAATTCTTATTTATAAAACTATACTATTTCCTTCAAGATCTAACACCGGCATTTATGATTTTATTGACGATACGAGTACTATTTCTTTTCTGTTTTACTCGCTGACAGAAGAGCTCCTCCAATTCGCTTTGAGTGATTTGGTATTTTATGAATTATTTCGGCGATTAACAACAAATTTTCGATCGACTGATTATGATTGACAATTTTATTGGTAAACAAGTACTTTACTATTCTCAATGTGTTTTGGGAGCCATCACCATACTGAAATTTCTTTCTCAGTTGCTTTTTGATACTTAGTTTGTTTCTTAACTGCTAGTAGCTACTAGCTATCAGGAAGAACAATACTGAGCGAATTGAGAACTTACTCTTATAAATAGCCAAATAACGAAAAGGTAAAGCAACGAAAACTAGCATGAAAATATGAAAATGTTATTTTTAATAATCACATAATATCAACACTAAAAATTAATCAATACAATTTTTATTTTCACAACAGCTCTCTCAGCTTCTTACGCTCTCAACTTGTGCTATCTTTTGCTAGTTTTTTGAATTAAGAAACCCTTTTCCAGCAGTAACTTGGCTAGCTAGTGATAGTTAGCAGTTAAGAAAAAAACTTACTATCGCATTTTCCAAGTGAAACTTCAAGCTATGAAGACAAATATTTTTATGTTCGTGTGATGTTTCATCTCAATATGTCAATTACTGTGTGTTTGACAGCTGTTTGTTTTCGATACAAATGATTTGCGATTTTTAAACCTGATACTTTTATTAAACGTGTGGTTTTCAATAAGGCAATAATTTTTTTTGGAGTCGGTATTTTTGAAAGCTGGTTTTGGATTTCTACTCAGTTTGGTTTGCCTACTCCGGAACAACGTTTGCAAATCGGCGCATCCTCAGAGAAGCCGTACAGTGCGCACCTTCATTTAAAAATGAAGCCGGCTATAATGTTACAGTAAATAGGGAATGCTATAGAGCCATGATTATTCACTTTTTCGTACCTGAATTGGAGGATGTCGATGTGGACGATCTTTGTGGTTCCAACAAGACGGCGCTATATGTCATATAACCCTATGAGTTTATTGAAGGAAACTTTTTTTGAGCACATTACTTTGCGACGTGGGCCTCTCGGCTGGAATTTATTCGAGCACTTGCCCGAAATCACTCTTAAAACAAAATGGCAAACCCTTGTCTTTATAGTAAAGCTTAATTCTTGGCCATTATATATATAAATATATGCGTTTTATTTCTTCTTTAAAATTACATGTCTAAAAACAACAACCATTATATAATATTACGTCAATGGACTCCTGTCGTATTCCTCGGAGCGAATTTTTTAGTTTCGAAAACAGAAAAAAATCGCAGTGAATGAAATCTGTCGATTACTCTTGTCAGTGTAGTGTCATTGAATTTGACATAATAAGAACATATTAATTTGCAATATAATCCAACTTATATCCAATTTACTATTTTTGGGTTATTAATAAAAAAGCGTGGCAGTACACGAGTACCAGTTCAGCGAGTCTTCGTAAACTAATAAAAAAACTTAATATATTATAATTTTATTACACTCCCAGCTCACTTTCTTTATTTCGCAAGAATTATACAATTTACAACAGTCCATTATAAAAATGGTATGTAAATTAAATGTATTAGATACGCATTAAGTACGATTTATTAGTATTGTAGTTATATATCATTTGATTTAATATTAACTGGCACTTAAATTCTAAAAAAATCATTAATTAAATTAGCTTGACAATTTCAGAAAACACGTGACATACATACATACTAGATACATGGAGATTATGGAGCGGGCTACTAATTTATTAATAGCGTATATGGTAGTATAATTAACACACTCGACAATGTAACGGTAATCTTATTTACATATCTACGTATACAATATGCAACTCTGTATGTATGTATGTATGTTGGCCACTGTATATATTGCATATAATTAACTTGTGTGCGCACTCATTTACATATTTGTGCTTAAAAGCTAAGTGATAAGCTTTCGTTATTAAGCATAATGATTAGGGATTTTAGAAGAAGGCACTTAAAATAACTAAAAATATTAGAATTATGCGCGTGTGTTCATGTTCTGGCTGAAGCTCTTTCACATGCGCGCTTTTGTTAAACGAAGAGCACCAATTGCGACACACAGCCGAAAGCTTTTCGCGCTCTTACATTGCAATGACATTTCTGCATGTATGCGTGTGTGTATGTGTATGGATTATTTCAATTGAACGTTTCGCAACATTTCAACTCAAAGCTAAAATATTTCCTGCAGTTAAATAATTCTAGTTTGGTTAATATTCGCCTTCGCTCTCGTACTAACGCTCTTCACCAAGCGACAAGCATGTCGCTCCTCAACTGCGTCGCACGTTGTGCTTTATTTGATCTTTCGTCGTCCATCACCGCTGCGTAAATTTGAGGAAAGT